TGTGGCCCTCAGGTGTATTCATGTGGCCCTCAGGTGTATTCATGTGGCCCTCTGACACAACTGTCCTCCTCTTCTCCTCACAGTCTGAAGAAAGACTCGTATGAGATGGAGATCCAGAAGCTTCTGAAGTGAGTCCAGTTGCCCGGTCTCACCTGTTTGGGTTCGTCCTCGCTGCGGTTCTGTAACGGTGTGTTTTTGTGACTCAGAGCGGCGGAGGTTCTGGACCACACCAAGAACCCCTGTGAGGACTCGTTTGTTCCGGACACAGTGGGGAAGATCTACGTCATGTTCATAAAGATGGAGTCTGAGTCGGACACGTTCACCTGGACTGAACTCGCCAAGGTAGACTCCGTCAGCGGATCAGGTAACGGTTTTAGCAGAACCCACATTAACCCGTTCTGGTTTGGTTCTTGTCCCGGCAGTGCCTGCACGTTTGGGACCTGGATGTTCGAGGAAACCATCGAGGACTGTGGAGGCTCTTCAGGAAGAGAAACCAGGTCCTGGTCGTGGCCACGCCCACCTCACCGTACTCGTGAGTAACGCTCCGCTGGAACGATCCCAGTGTTCCCAACGACTCTGGAAGTCTGGGAAAACCTGGGAAATGATGTTCACATTTTCCAGACAGGGTCTGGACTCTGGTCTGCTGATGGAGAAGGTCTTTCTGAGACTTGAGGGTGGTCACATGTTCCTACAGGAGATGTTCTTCTTTTCTTTTAAATTCATCAAGTTGTTGTTTTAATCAGAAAACCTGATTTCTACAACAAACTGTTATTTAGTTTGTTTGTAAACTGATCTTATACACTAATAATTAACTAATTATAGCATAATATATTAATAATAATTAATTATAAGATAATATATTGGGACCTGGATGTTCGAGGAAACCATCGAGGACTCTGGAGGCTCTTCGGGAAGAGAAACCAGGTCCTGGTCGTGGCCACGCCCACCTCACCGTACTCGTAACGCTCCGATATATTATTAAAACTTCCATCCATCCATTTTCTTCCTCTTATCCGGGGTCGGGTCGCGGGGGTAGCAGCCTAAGTAGGGAGGCCCAGTCTTCCCTCTCCCCAGCCACTTGGTCCAGCTCCTCCGGGGGAATCCCGAGGCGTTCCCAGGCCAGCAGAGAAACATAGTCCCTCCAGCGTGTCCTGGGTCTTCCTCTGGGCCTCCTTCCGGTGGGACGTGTCCGGAACACCTCACCAGGAGGCATCCTAACCAGATGCCCAAGCCACCTCAACTGGCTCCTCTCGACGTGGAGAAGCAGCGGCTCTACTCTGAGTCCCTCCCGGATGATCGAGCTTCTCACCCTGTCTCTAAGGGAGAGTCCAGACACCCTGCGGAGAAAACTCATTTCATCTGCTTGTATCCATGATCTCATTCTTTCGGTCACAACCCAAAGCTCGTGACCATAGATGAGGGCAGGAACGTAGATCGATCGGTAAATTGAGAGCTTCACCTTTTGACTCAGCTCTCGCTTCACTGCAGACGCTGCACCTATCCTCCTATCGATCTCTCGCTCCATTTTTCCCTCATTCGTGAACAAGACCCCAAGATACTTGAACTCCTCCACTTGGGGTAGGACCTCCTCCCTGACCCGGAGAGGGCACTCTACCCTTTTCCGGCTCAAGACCATGGCCTCGGATTTGGAGGAACTGATCTTCATCCTGGCCGCGTCGCATTCGGCTGCGAACCGCTCCAGTGAAAGCTGTAGATCACGATCTGATGAAGCCAATAAGACCACATCATCTGCAAAAAGCAGAGAAGCAATCCTAAGGCCACCAAAATGGATCCCCTCAACTCCATAAAAGTTATGAACAGAATCGGTGACAAAGGGCAACCTTGGCGGAGTCCAACTCTCACCGGGAACAAGCCCGACTTACTGCCGGCGATGCGGACCAGGCTCTGACACGGTCGTACAGGGACCTAACAGCCCGTATCAAAGGGCCCGGTACCCCATACTCCCAGAGTACCCCCCACAGGGGCCCCCGAGGGACGCGGTCGAACGCGACGCGGTCGAACGCCTTTTCCAAGCCCACAAAGCACATGTAGACCGGTTGGGCAAACTCCCACGCACCCTCCAGGACCCTGCTGAGAGTGTAGAGCTGGTCCAGTGTTCCACGACCAGGACAAAAACCGCACTGTTCCTCCTGAATCCGAGGTTCGACTATCCGACGGACCCTCCTCTCCAGAACCCCCGAATAGACCTTACCAGGGAGGCTTAAGAGCGTGATTCCCCTGTAGTTGGAACACACTCTACGGTCCCCCTTTTTGAATTGGGGGACCACCACCCCGGTCTGCAAATCCAGGGGAACTTCCCCCGATGTCCACGCAATATTGCAGAGTCGTGTAAGCCAACACAACCCTACAACATCCAGAGCCTTAAGGAACTCCGGGCGAATCTCATCCACCCCTGGGGCCCTGCCACCAAGGAGCTTTTTAACCACCTCGGTGACCTCAGCACCAGAGATTGGAGAGCCCGACCCAGAGTCCCCAGGCTCCGCTTCCTCAGTGGAAGACGTGCCGGTGGGATTGAGGTGGTCTTCAAAGTATTCCGCCCACCGACCCACAACATCCCGAGTTGAGGTCAGCAGCACACCACTCCCACTATAAACAGTGTTGGTGGCGTACCGCTTTTCCCCCCTGAGACGCCGGATGGTGGACCAGAATCACCTTGAAGCCGTGCGGAAGTCGTTCTCCATGGCCTCTCCGAACTCCTCCCATGCCTGAGTTTTTGCCTCAGCGACCACCCGAGCCGCATGTCGCTTGGACTGCCGGTACCCATCAGCTGCTTCCGGGGTCCCACAGGCCAAAAACGCCCGATAGGACTCCTTCTTCAGCCTGACAGCATCCCTCACCGACGGTGTCCACCATCGGGTTCGAGGGTTGCCGCAGTGACAGGCACCGACAACCTTGCGGCCGCAGCTCTGGTAAGCCGCCTCGACAATAGAGGCACGAAACATGGTCCACTCGGACTCAATGTCCCCCACCTCCCTCGGAACATGTTCGAAGTTCTCCCGGAGGTGGGAGTTGAAACTCCGTCTCACAGGAGACTCTGCCAGATGATCACAGCAAACCCTCACTATACGTTTGGGTCTGCCAGGTCTGACCGGCATCCTCCCCCACCATTGGAGCCAACTCACCACCAGGTAGTGATCAGTTGACAGCTCCGCCCCTCTCTTCACCCGAGTGTCCAAGACATGTGGCCGCAGATCAGATGAGACGATGACAAAGTCGATCATCGAACTGCGGCCTAGGGTGTCCTGGTGCCAAGAGCACATATGGACACCCTTATGCTTGAACATGGTGTTCGTTATTGACAATCCATGACGAACACAGAAGTCCAACAACAGAACACCACTTTAAATATAACATGATTAATAATAATGATTAACTAAATATAACATAATTATTAATAATGATTAACTAAATATAACATAATTAGTAATAATGATTAACTAAATATAA